TCATGGTTTCCCTATTAGTTTTGAAGAGTTGAGGTGATATCTTGAAGTGTGAACTATGCTTTTTGAGCTGCAGCTTGCAGCAGTTGCTGTAATTACAAATGTGCCTGCATCATGCTGGGATAGGGCATGGCGTTTTGATTTTTTTTGTCTCCCTCCCTTTTTTTTTTTTTTTTAATCAGAATGGCTGATTTGGTTGGGTGAGGCCTTTGAGGCTCACTCGTATTTGAAATATAGCCTTGTCTGCTTGCTTGTCCTGGAGTGTAAGTCAAGTGGCTTCTGTAGGGAACTGATGAGACAAGTTTCTTGCAACATCTAGAAGAGGCTGTAGGCTGTGGGTTGCCTGTAGTAGAAAGGGCTGCATGTACTTGTCATCCCTGATATTTTTAGTAAATTATTCAATGACTCTCTTTGCTTCTTCACAGATATTTCAGGGTTAAATAAATAAATCCAATGGTTTAGTGTCTAAGGAATTACTCTTTCATGGTGATTTCAAGATGATTAAGGCTTTGAAAAATGTTTGCAATAAACACTGGAGTCCTGTGTAACAAAGGCTGTGGTTTGGTGTAAGTGGGCTTGCACTGCTCTTTGTAGTGGTTCTAAATCCTGCAGCCCCATACCACATAATGTTGTTCTGGTAGAAGCTAATAAAAATGTAAATGTTTCAAATATTTGAGTGAACTCTAACTTTAGAAGCAGGTTTTAAATTGAATCAGACTTTATCTGCCCTGCTAGTCTTGTGACAGCTAAAAGATTATGTACTCCCATTTGTTCTAGATCAGCGGATTGATTCAATAATAGTTTTCCCATCAGTCACACTGACTATTAGCTGCTTTGACTCTAGCAAACCTGGATAGGGCTGGTCAGTTCTTGTAATTCCCAAGGTACTGAAATAGCCCTTTCTGGAAGTGCCAAAGGATGGGGTGGACTTCCAGAGGAAACATGACAGTGAGGAAAAAAAGCCAGGCGTTGCCTTACTTTGGCAGCAAGCTATTTAGAGCAGTTGTCTCTGGAAACAGAGCCAAGCTGTAAGAGAAGGGCATGGCTGATGTACACTCAAGTTAAACTGGTTATGAGTAACTAAGATAACCTGTTACCATGTTGTGCTGTGGCCTTAAGGAACGGCTCCTTGTAGTTTTCTTCAGTAGAGCCGTGTCGTGGCCATGGTAGTCGTGTGCTGCAGTTGGCCAAGCTTCCTGGCTGCAGGTAGGTGTTCTCCATGATAAACTAGCTCAGGAAGTTTCTTGGTTCTGTCCTCTTGTAATGCCTGCTCTTGCTGCCATCATTCTTCTCTGCTGGAAGTGTTAGAGCGTTTTTGAAAAACAGATTTTAAAAAAATAATAAAACATTTTGGGGGATTGCTGTTTATTTGTAGCGGGCTCACTTCAGTGGTGCAGTTAACTGGTTGCTACAACCAAGGAGTAGCCAATTGTAGCATAAATGCAAGAACTTTATGTGCTGTCTTTTCCACTGTAATTAACCTATAGCCATGGTTGTACTTGATATAAAGCTCTTAAATGTGGAGTCAGCACTAATGACCAGACCTTAAAATTAGCAGAGGCATTGACTTCCTCTCTTAATAAAAGAAAAATGCTTGTATTGGATTTCAAGAAAGCTTTACTATGGGTTTGGTGGTTTTTTCTTTTTCCCCTATACTGCTGATTGAAAGCAGATATTGTTAAAAGACTTGTTTTAGAAACAGGCAAAATGTGGTAGTGCTGGGAGAACAGTAACGGGCTTATGGTCATTTGCATCCTGAGGCCATTAGTAAATGTCTGTCCCTATCCATGATTGTTACAACAAAAATAGAATTTTGCTGTAATGGCACACCTAGTGTCTGTTTCTGATTTACAAGCACATCTGGAAAGAATGTGAACAAGATCCTAAAGTGGGTTTCCTTCCTTACTTGTTCAAGTTTCACTTAAATCCCACTGTATTTTATTACTTAAAAGAAACCATGTGGGCAGTATGCCCTGTTGCAGTTCTTGGGCTATCAGGGCCGGTATTGGAATGATCCACCCTCAAAAGCCAGGTGCCTTTCACAGGTTCTTCCCCAGTGCCTGGCTCACTTGTACGGTTGTGACCGTTTGTAAAACGGCAACAGGCTTTTGCATCTTTTGTTTTCCTTGGAGTGTTGCTGAAGCAGCAGATGAGCTCTGCTTACTACCTCGTGGGTCCTGGAGAAGTTTGGGGAGAAAGGAAGATGCTGCTAATGCTGTCAGCAGTAGAGTGTATTGCAATTCTTTTAATTTTGGGGGTGAGGGGTTTATTTTTCTTTCGTGAAATGGCATAGGGACTGGCCCTGTTCTTTAAGTGGAGTTCACTCAATGCCCGGAGAAGAAAAGCAGAAACCTTAACCCCTATTTGGTACGTGCAGCCATTTAAAAATAGACATGCACGTTTTGATTCAGCTCGCTCTTGTCTGAGAGTTGTCCTGGATCTTGGCCATTAAATTATAAAAATTCCAGTAAAAGGTGTGTTTTCAGTTTTGAAACTCTTACAAAAGTTTATTTTGCTTGATTTCTGTGTTTCTTATGCCACAGTAATTAGAGTATGTGTTAAATTGAAATGAGTAAAATATTTAAATATCTTAAGCCGTAGACTTCAGACCTTCTTTCTGCAGCTTTAAGTAGTATGTAGGATGCTTAAGGTTTTTCCCCTGAGACAACTCTGCTTAAGATCCTGACACTTGTAGTTGAAACTTGATCACCTTGGTTGTATGCTGCTCACAAGTTTGCTGGGTGCTCTGGAGTTACTTCTCTGTTCTTTTGGTTAAACATCACAGAGAATGGTATGAGAGGGCTTGGTTTCGTGTACTTGTTATGCCCAACAAGCATCATAAAATTAGGTGTTCTGTTCGTGTTTAAATGTGCTGGGGCACAAGTGATGTTTCGCACTGCTGTTTGGTAGGTGTAGAGAGACTGTTTAGGAACAACATTGAAGAATATTTTAGATTTCTAATTTTCCTGTAAGAATCCTTTGTTAAAAACAAAAGGACAAGATGATGTGTACCTTCACAAGAACAGAAACTCTTGTGTGTCCTAACTTGACTCTTACCTCAGTCCAGGAGTATCCCAGCCCCTCCTGTTGCATTCCTGGATTGTGATGTTACCTTGGATGCAAAATAGAGAATGCCTGAAGATATTTTGGCTGCTAAGATGACATCAAAATCTTTTTTTTTCCTGAACTCTTGAAAACCAGTAAATTTGGTGTAAAAACTCTGATTGTAAACTCCTATGCACATTCCTGTAGGTCATCATGGGTTTTTTTTTTTTTAGCCTTTTAGATGTCTAATTTCAGGTTCATATACTGAACAGACGTTAAAGATGAGCAATTCTGTTGTGTTTCTGACAAGGTCCTTAGTGTGACTTGGTAGCCTGAAAAGAAGGAACTTAGCAGTGAATCAGGGTAAAAGACAGCAATACAGGCATTTTTGTCAGGGGGAAGGGGCAGCACAAAGAAGAGTCAAATGAAGTAATGCAAACATAGGAGCATGAGAGTAGAATCAGTCAGCGAATTGCCAGTAGTAAGGGGCCACAAAAATGTCTTGTCTTTTGTGCAGTTCTTGTATAAACCCAAGAATCTCTATTTATTATGTGTACTGTGAAATACATAGTGTTTTTAAAAAATTACACAGGAAGAGGAGGTGTAATTTCCAAGCAGATGATGACTGCCAGTGAGAAGGGAATAGATCCCCACTTTTGTAAATGGGAGTAGTGGTAGTAGGATGGCTTGTGAAGACTTTAAATAAACCTGACCTGAATCTAGCTTTCACTCTCAGGGCAAAACAATTCTCAGCATGGGCATCAACTACAGTTTTCTGTCATCCATCAGTCTTCTGGTCACTAAGAAATGAGTGACACACTGGAAGTAAGCAGTCTCAGGTGTCATTTGGAAAGTGGATTTCCTTTTGGAATTCCAACATACTTAATGGTCAAATATATGAATGAGAGATTTGAGCATGCAAATCAGTTTTTCTCCTGGTGCTGTCTGCTTACTGCAGTGCAGATTTCAAGCCAAAGAGAAAAGGCTATAACCAACTTGGGAAAGAGCTTGCACTTTGCTTTATTTAACTGCTCGACTTTTTAATTTTTTTCCAAAATAATGGAGAGATGCCGCAGCTCATGGTGTTGAGGAAATTTGGTAGTAGCTTAACTTAATCTATTTACTAGAGTTAAAAAAAAAACCCAAAACACATAGTCTGAAAGATCAACTCCTTCAGTTGTATTGAAGAAAATGGAAGAAGTCTTTTGTAGTAACTGTTCAAGTAATTGAGAGAAAATCAATGGTGGTATTTTCAAGACTGAATTTTGAGAACTGGATTTGAACAAAGTGCTGTTTTACTTGGATTATTCAGCTGAAAAGCAGACTTTGTCTTCTAATCAGTTTGCCTAGTAAATGGCACACTTCTCTGCATTTCAAGCTCTAATTTCTCGTTTGCTTCAGCCATTGTTTGGAAGGAAGAATAAAATAGCCTTTTGCATGCCTTTATTTAAAAGGTGGCAGTTCAAAGCCTAAGGACCTAAGGTTAAAATATTTTTGTGAGTAGTCTGAAGCAATGTATGTTTCTGCCATGAGACAAGAAAATAATTAACTCAGGTGAAATTAGTACATAAGTAAAGTTTCCATATTGATTTTTCACTACAGTGTAGCTCAGTAGGATATTAATGGGGGGTTCCATCTCATGGAATGTAAACTGTTTCTGGATATACAGTGCTTGTTTTGTTGATACACTAAAGTTCTTTGCTAAAATAAGGTTAGAAACTGACATTAACATACGTTTTGGTGCCTTTAAGGTGTGCAGTTGAATAACTTGAATACTTGGTAGTTGGTGTGGTGGGTGGTTTTTTTTTGGCTCAACACAGGGAAGGAAAAAAGCATATATCTTAAGGAGCTGGTCCTCAAATCATAACCAGAAATTGTATTTTGAACTCTTTCAATCTGTAGTCCTTAATCTAACTGTCTGAAATCAACCTAAAATAACTCTTTTTTTCAGGAGTGTCTTGGTGAGACTCGAAGGATGCAGCCATCCTGTTGTTATGAAAGGCTTGTGTGCTGAATGTGGCCAGGACTTGACTCAGTGAGTATTCTCAGCTCCTTGTTTTCCAACTTCTTTCTTGTGATTAGGGATCCAAGCTCTTCCTTCTCTTATTTACTTTACTTCTCTGTTCTGACTCTTAGTAGTTGTGAATCATACCTGTAAGGGTGACTGAAGTTGTAGATACCAGGGAGGGAGAACAGTATTCATACTGCCTAGCATAATAAGGTCTACGCAGAGTGCCTCTTGTAAGGGAAGTTGAGAGGGAGTTTCCTCTAAAAGTTAAATTACAGCATAAAGCACTGTTTCACATTTGCTTTTTTTTAATATATCTATTGAGATTAGCTCATGAAATTGTTGCTTAAAGTTGAATGGTCTGAATATATCGTTTCTTGATCACATTATTAGGAGTGTAATCGTTTAATAAAGTGTGTCTTTACTAAAAAATTGCTGCTTGTAGGCAGGAATTGCTGTCCCTCGTAGATAGAACCAACACATGAAGAGGAAATAGGCAAGATCTGTGCCACTGTTGCAAAGTCTTAATTTACCTTTGCAATTTACACAAGGCACTTGTCACCCTGAAATTGTCAAATAAGTAGCCTCTTTCTTATATATCATTGTAGTCGCAGATACGTTGTTTGAAACTATAGTTCTTCTGAACTGTTACAGGGGTTCATAACTAGGAATATGAGTGAAATTTATGACTTGACTGTGGACTTGAATGTTGAGTAGATTACTATCTTAGGTAGAAAATAAAGAGCAGGTCCATGGACATAAATTCTTATTGCAGTATATCCTAAACCTGAGAGTTTTGTCTGTGCAAAATGTAAATAGCTGTGAGGTGATGTCAGTCAAATTCATGAGACCGTGCTCCGTTTGTACTGTGTCTGAATGGGAGCTAGCTTGCCTCCAGTGCTTTCAATTTAAAGCTTCATCAGTCAGTTTTTTTGGTGAAGTATTCTGCCATGGAACTTTTAAGGAGTTTAAGCCATAGGTTAAACAGAAAGCAAATTCAAAAGCAAATTTTAGGAAAATTTTACTGTTGCATGCTCATTTAATCTGGAAGGCAATACTTTGGTTTCATTTTAATTCACAGCTTATTATCAAAAATTATTTTGTGAGCATTATCCCATAAACCAGCACAAGTGGACTGGGTATTGAAAGTCTTATGCAATATGTAGCCCAGTTAATGGTTGGATATAACTTTTCATTAGAAGTTGACTTAATATTTTGTAAGCAAGTGTTGTTTGGCCAAACAACAAACCTAATAAAAAGTTAGCATAATAGTAAATAGTGCTTTACCTGCCCTGACTGAACACTTGGTTTGAGGTTTGAATATGTGACATCTAAATATAGCTACACTGCTGCTATTTCATTAGAAATCTAGATAAATTCAGGGTACGCAGTAAATTCAGTTTTCTCAATACTCCTCTACTTCAGATAATGTCTTGATTTTATATAAAAAGGCTTATATACTTGGAGGATTGTGTTAGGTCTGCTGAGGCTACCTCAGAAGGCAATCCAACTGGTGACTACAGCCAGTTCACTGCCAGCCTGTTGGGTGTTACTCAGTGGTGCATCCTTTCTGTTAAACAGTTCTTATGGTCATTCAACAAATGGCCTGAAAACAGTATTTTTTTTTAAAGGCTTATTTAAAATATTTTCAGTATTATATATAAGAAGTGTTCTGAATTCTGAAGCAAAGGACATTTACATGCACGTTTTAGCTTCTTGCTTTGGACCAAGAGAAATAATGTCTTTCATTTCTGAGTCTCAGTGCTTCCAAACCCTAAGTTACAATAAAAGTGTAGCTGTCTGATTGTCTCTGCCCCAACACAGCTCAGTAACATTTTTTTCCTCAGGAACCTGTTTGTCACGATATAAAAACTCCATGACGTTTAGCTTTGTCTGTAGATGTGCTAACCAAATTTTTATCCTTGATAGGACAGGTACTTGGGAGAATTAAGATGTATCTGTGTCACATAAGACAGATTTTGTATAGTAGTATTTTAAATGTTGGTGAAACACAAAATATGTCTTTAAAAGTAGGTATCAGAGTTCCCAACAAGCTGATCTGTGTAAGCTGGAAGCTAGTGATACTGATGCAATGTGGGGTTACTTGGTCAGTTTTCAAGGAATTTCATACTTGGGTGTGTACACACACTCAAACACTCGTATATATGAGAAAATTATATGTATTCTGTATGTATCAATATATACACATACATTTATGTATCATATGCAAATGTGTACACCTAACACTGTGTGTATAATATACACGTAAATTAAAAATATACAGGCACTCAGGTGTAATACCTCATTCTGTTTAGTGCCAAAGAGAAAAGCATGTGTGAGGATTGTTTGGATGCTTTTCTTGAAGCAGCAGTCATGTGTAAATCACTGCTATGTGTAAAGAGTAACTTTGCTTATGTTTTGCTTAAATTTATTTCATAGTCTGTCTTGGAGAAAAGTAGGAAATTTGGATGCTGATTGCAAAAAAAAAAAAGATAGTTTTAATTTGAATGGTGTGGGGTTATGCTTAGGTTATAACTGTTTTTTAATGCCAGTCAATAGATAGATACTTGTTTCATTTTAGTGTCACCTTTCATGACATAATTATATGGAAGCATAACTAATTACAGTGACTTTTGCAAGGTTTTAATGGTGAGCTGCTTTGATCTCTTAATCCATTTTTTTTCAGTAGCTTCAAACAAGAATTTGAAAGAGAAAAAAAAAATAGCTGGTTTTTAATCACACTTTTTTGGTGGTGACTAGTTTGATACTACATACTTGAGCATGTTCAACTTTTCACTGAACTGTGACTCTTTTAATGCCGCTTTTCCCTGCTTGACTAGGATACGAAGCAAGAATGGAAAGCAGAATGTGCCATTATCCACAGCAACTGTGTCTATGGTTCACAGTGTCCCAGAACTGAAAGTTAGCTCGGAGGTAAGTACTCTTTAGTCACACCTTTCACTGTATATGCACAGTTGAGATGCTTAATGATAGGAGTTTCTTCAATGTTGTACATACTTCGTACAGGAAGTTTGGCTTCCCTTTTAAGAGGAATTTGGTATTGAACATCAGTAGCTCAGGGTTTTAGTGTGTTTACCCTGATGCAGATTGATTGTTATCAGGTTTTATAGTGTTGAGTGTTTTTTTTGGGGTGTTTTTTTTTGAGCTGTGCACTGAAAAGATGGCATTTCTGTGACAGCAGGGTGAAAACTTACTGCTTTAATGTTTTTGTCTCTAAGAATGAGCAATTTGTGGAAAGTTTAGTTTCCACTAGCTGAAATGTGTTCAAAGCTTGCAGTGCCTGGCTTCATCCTTGACCTTGAAATTGTTCTCACTAGATAGAGTAAAGCTGGTTTGTTTGTAGCTTGCCTGTGTGTTGATCTATTTAATTGTTTTCTAAATATTTCATTCAGCTGACTTATGCTGGTTCATACCTCAGTTTCTTTAGAGGAAAAACCTTTTGGTTTTTACCTTTTCATATTGCTGCTTGCTCTCTGTTTTGGTTTTGTTGGGTTTTTTTTAATAAATCTTCAAAGAACACCCGTAAGAAATGTGAAGATGTAATCAGCTAGCAGTGCCCCCATCATAAAGGAGCATTTCCAACGGCAATTTGCACTCGACTTCTGCATCTTCAGACTGTTCCACTTAACTGTGTCTGTAGGTGGCTGGTGGGTAACACTGCAGTTTGCTATTGGAAGTGGTTGAAGTGAACACAGGGCTTAATGCGATACTTTGAAAGGCTCTAAATGTGCGCAAGAGGAGTAAACTTCAAGTTACAGGAATGTAAGGTCTTTGATATCAGTGCCCACACAGAACTATATCTGCAGGTGTATATTATGCTGGTTTTAGTCAGGGGTGATCCCACAAGATTTTGTTTCATTCCACGCTACATCAAGCTGAGCGGTCAGTGTCGCCTCCCGTTACCCGCGGCACCGAGAGCTGGCAGCCAGGGGCAGTTTGCGAGGCGTGAAAGGGGACCGCAAGAGACGACGCGACCTGGCAGGTGTGGTGGGGGTCAGCTAGGAGATTCCTGCT